CGCCCCCGCCGGGGCCTACGTCGGTCCTGACCTGCCCCGCGCAGCATTCCTGGACCACGCCCGTCAGTCTCGGCCTGTCGTGGGTGGGAGGGGATGAGGTCTGTTTGTGAACTTGGCTACAACCGACTGTACCCTCTCGTCTACCGCATGGAGGAGCACGTCACTTCCGAATTACGTTGACAGCAAATTTAACAATGCCCTTGAACAAGTAACAGTTATTTTACAAAATATGATATTCTCCTTCTATGTAACAATAGTTTTGTCTGATCTCGGTGGATAATGCGATTTTGCAGGGTTGTCGTAAAGCTGAGAAGAAAAATGGTGTTGGACGAGTTTATCGCAACAGAGCGTTGTAAAAATTGTTATCGCCGGCTTCTCATTTTAACTTTACGGCTGGCGTCGTCCTGAATACAGAACGAGGTAAGAATAATTGTTTCCAACGAAGTTCGAGGTGCGGTGGCGTGGACTAGGCTAGGGGATAGCCTGGTCACATGCGGAAGACAACGTCAAATCAAGATAAGGCACATGCCCAATAATCCCCCCCTCCTCCCTCTCTCTCTCTCCTTCTCTCTCCCTCCCCCCTCCCCCACAATAAACAACTCTAGCTGTGCTTTACAAATTCTTATACACACGTTCTGATTGGTTAACGTAACGGGGCTTCTTACCGTTTAATACTCCGTCACTCACTCACTCACTCACTCACTCACTCACTCACTCACTCTCGCTCTTCGTCACTCTCTCCCTCTCACCCTTATCCCCTCAGTCCCGTTGTCCACCACAGCGCGCCCTTTCCACGCAGTTATACCCATTCTTCCTTGTAAAATCCCTTCGCCGGGGCGACAACGGGGGCAGAAAATGAGAAGGGTAGTGAGCCTTAGGGGGTCGTGTGGGTGGCCCTCAGGACCCCCCGCCACCCCCGCTCCTCCCGCAACGGCCCGGAGGGGCCACACCACTGCCCGAGGTCCAAAGATTTTTTCGCACCCTTTCCTACGACTTCGTTTCCCGTTTTCGTGCCCCAAGTGGTCGCCCCGAGACTCCCCCTTTCCCCCCTCCCTCGACCCGCCACACTCCAGTGCCCCCCTCAATGCACTGCGGGGGACGGCCGCCCCGCCCGGCCGGCTGCTCAGCACCTTGTTATGTGTGCTGCCGCACAATGTAGCGGCCGTCGTTATCGGTCTCGCTTTAAGGCCCTCGCACACACTGCAAAAAGGCAAACCTATTTTTTAAAAAGTTTATCACGAAAAATAATAACTTCTGTAAGTGTCGAACATTTTGTCGATTGGCCGCTACTTTTGGAAGCCCAGCCTAATTTTGCCGAGTTTCCATTAAGGGTGGCCTTTAATTATTTTTAAATTTTATTTTTCGATTTTAAATTGTATTGTGTCCATGGGATCCCATGTGCCCCATGTTGTTTTTTTTTTTGGGACTGGGCCGGGGCTCCTCTCGTGGGTAGCTGCGGCTGCTTCCGCAGTGGTTTGCGCGCGCTACAAAGGCCTGACGTCAAACTTTCGGTGACGCAACTACCCGCCACCTATGCTCTCGCCGTGCCGCCCCTCCTTCTCCACGCGTGCTCTTGAAATTAATAACGGTGTTTGAGCGCGCCAAGGTATAGCAAAGGGGCGACAGAGGCGTAAAGAGAGGGGATGGAGTAAGGGTGGTTGAGGTATGACCCCAATGGAAAAACTACCTGTCCTACCTTTAAAATGTGGGAAAGGTTTAGTACTTTTATAAAGCAACCAAAGGCAATAATTTCGAGCACCTTTTAGGGTTCTTCAGTGCCTTTCTAAAAAGTGACCAAACCGAAAATTTTCTTTGCACTTTTGGAAAGACACGACTTTAGTACCTTCGTTTTTCCTTTGGTGCCCTTCCCATACTACGAAAGTATTAAAATTGTCCCTTTGCGGTGTCGCCTGGCTGCTAAATGACGCAGTACACCACCCTCTATTTGCAAAAAGCGCAGCCGTCGCTAATTACCCTTTTATTTTCTTGATGCCATTACCACTAACGCTGCGAGCCGCTTTTCTGCTATCCACTTCACTTTCCAACTTGTCTCTTAATCTGCTCTTGGTCTCTCTCTCCCTTTCCCTCTCCCTCTCTGCATCTCCGTTTCCTGCACCTCATTCGTACCGGTACCCGTTACTGTGTGCCTTCTTTCAATAATCTTATTTTTTATGGCATTGGTGTAGTTTTCCGAGGCAGCAAAAGAAGCGTTTTTTGATTCAGGTAGTTTTCTGACTGTCGAAAGAAATGAAAAATCTCTTACTCCAAAAATGTTACCAAAGCATACTCTGCAAATCTAACTGTATAACAACTTGACAGTTTAAACTGCAAAATTAAAAGTTTCACAGTTTAAACTGCAAAACTAAAAGTCTTACAGCTTAAACTGCGAAACTAAAAAGTTCTACGGTTTAAACTGCAAAACTGTGAAGTTCAACAGTTTAAACTGCACAACTGCATAGGGCTAGTTATACAGTTGAAACTGTTGAACTACACAGTTTTGCAGTTTAAACTGTAGAACTTTTCAGTTTTGCAGTTTAAACTGTAAGACTTTTAGTTTTGCAGTTGAAACTGTAATACTTTTAGTTTTGCAGTTTAAACTGTCAAGTTGTTATACAGTTAGATTTGCAGAGTATGTGTCCAGAACAAACCTGATCTAGTGTTAGGATGTTAGAATCAAAATTGAATCTCTGATCAAAATACGATTTTTCTGGGTGTTCATAAGCAATTTCAATTTCGCTCAAATTTCTTTTTTGTACGTCCCTATCGTTCTTATTTGTGAAAAGGGTGTTTCAGAACGAAGAAACGCATTATAAATCCTTACCAGGTGACGGAGCAATGGCTGCGACCGTTTGGTGGGAGCGGCTGTGCTATGCTCTCTCCGCCTCTTGCCCGTGTGCTGCTCCTTATCGTGGACCGCGCGCTGCTCCTCAGCCCCATCCCACCGCAACTCCTACGTCCGCAAGCCGACGCATAATATTTAGCTGCGCTGCTGTTAATTATTTTTAATGCTTCTATTCTTGGGGTGAAAGCAGAGAAAATGGCGTGGCGGCGCGGCGCGGCGGGGGGAGGACACACCGCGCTGCAGTGCCGCCGCCGCTGCTGCTGTTGTTGTGGGGGGTGAAAACAGCGTTTTGCTCTCTCCCGCCCGCTTGCGCAATCTCCCTCTAACTTACTCTTTCCTTCTTTCTCGCTCCGCGCGCCGTGCTTAAAAAAATGTGGTCGTTGGTCGTGTGCTGCTTTTGTCGGCAGGTGCCTCTGCAGGTGTGTTGTGCAGGCTGCTCCAGAGGACTCTCCCTCTCTCTCTCTCCCTCTCCCTCTCTCTCTCTCTCTCTCTCTCTCTCTCTCTTTCTCGCCCTCCCCTCGTTTGCCGCCCGTTTGTGGGCTGCTGCCCTATGGCTGGCCTTTGCTTTGCCCCCTTCTTGCATCTCTCTCTCTCTCTCTCTCTCTCTCTCTCCCCCCCCCCCTGCTAACGTGGTAGGAGGCCTTTAACGGCTTCACTCGTGCGATGAAATGCTCCCCTACACCGACTTCCACTTCTCGTCCACGCACTAATGCACACACACACTCGCACGCACACTCACACTCGCACACACACCCACACCCACGCACCTACCCGCATTCTCGCAGCGCGCGGTGCGATGCCTTTGTAAACTGTGCCGAATTTTCTCTGCGAGCGTTTTGAAGTGTGAGTGAGGAGTTACTAAAGGACTTTACAATTCGCAAATTTTCTCAGCTTAGCTTGTTTTCCGTTCTTTCCATCTGTCTCATTTTGTGTCCAATGTCCAATATATTAGTGCTTAGCGGCGCAACGCAACTGTGTCCGGGCAACCCTTGTTTTGTCGTAGTCCAAAGTGATGGCAGACTTACTCGCCATTTTGGTGCGGCGGGAGACCTGCTGCTAGTGCACAACTTCTCCCCGACTATTACTGCTGCCTGTGAAGGGGGCAAGAAGGAGGGGAGGGGGGCAGACTATGGTTGGAGGAGAGACGGGAAGGACAGAAGGGAAAGGGAGAAAAAAAGAGGACGACTAGAAATAAGAATTAGGGGTGGTGAAAACTTGGTGGCCCTGGCTGCAAACAGTCCTAATTAAATGTCACTTTCATTAGACAAGGAGACCAAACTTTCCGCGCCAATGTGGGACAGTGAGGTCTCAGTCTAAGGAGAATGCATTGGATGGTCGTGGTCCCCGCCCCGTCGCTCGGAAGAGGGGAACCGAGTACATAGCAGAGAGTCGAGGGCGAGGGTGAGCGTGGTGAGGGCGACTTTTATTTCCGAGATACTGTGCCCTGTATCCGGCTTTATAGTTATGTTCTTCATAGTTGGACAATTCTAACCATTTTTAAAACGACCTTCTTTTTTTTATCTTGCCTTTCTAAGAATATTTGCTATTCTTCTCTTCGTCATAGTTGGCCGTTTACTTTCGAATAAGAGTGAGCAAAAAATACAGAAACAAGATTCTTGTGCGGAAATTGTCGGCCGTCACGGCTGGGACACACTTTGCAAGTTTGTCAGACCTTGCCAGCAGCCAGCCAGCCAGCGAGCCAAGTTTGACGCGCGAAACTAACACGTCTTATAAATGCTGCGGTTGCACAGCGCGGCGGCGGCAGTGAGCCTGCAATCGGTTTACCCAACACCGCACGCTGGAAGTTGGCAAGCGCGGGAGGAGAGGAAAGGGCTGAGAGAGAGAGAGAGAGAGAGAGAGAGAGAGAGAGAGAGAG